ATAAGGAACATATCCGATATCATCTGTGAAACGGTTATTCCATAACGGTCAACCAACTCGTGATGGCGTCCGTAAAATTAACGAAGGAATGATTTCAACTTCACCATTTGGAACTCTTGGTTTAATAGCTTCCTTGTGAGCAGCAATCCTCTATCAAGGAAATCATGATAGGAAACACAAGCCCTGGAATATCGTATCAATTGGGAGATATATACTCCGTATGCAGGCGCTGCTGGAATGTTGCTACATAGAAATGGAAAGTTCACAATTGTAAAGCTGAAATCATCTCTTTTGTCGTGAAGTTTTGTTTTCAACCGACCCTCATTGTCAATTTCTAGATGTAAGTCAAGATATAAGGCAGACTTATCTGTATCTGTAGTATCCTTTATCTCTATCACAAGTGATAATTGATACATGTCTCGGAAAAATAATAACACTCTGTTGAATTGTATTCATGGAATGTCGAATGGTTGTGATAGATTTGATAAAGGCGTTTGGCCATTTCTTTTTGGCTCTACATTCGTGGACTGATGTCCAGACATATTTAATATTTTCATTCTCATCTGTTTCAAGCTATCTGTGTTATCTTTCTGTTAACTTATTTATACCATGTAAGAATAGAGTTGCACAATTGACCAATTGTACCAGGTTGGCATACATGTATTTCTGGTTAGACAATTGAGTGCATGTCCATAAAACGGTAATTATAAGATGTAAGTATGAAACGCATGGTTATATTTGGTTAGTAATAAGGATATACATTGTATCTTATTCTATAGTAATATATATATATATTATATATATTATATATTAAGTTACAGCAATAATACGAACAGTTGTGCTTGCGCATAATATATAGGTGAAAGTACCAGAGATTATAAGGGAAATGCATATATTTCAAAGCATAAGGTTATGACGAATTTCCCAAGTTAGACTTAGAAGATGCTAAATGTAACGATTCTTTAGCCGTAGTTGAACGCTTGTTGTTGTCAATATTGTCCACGTCTGCTGTTGTAAAACCACCATGATTTGAGGAAGGAATCACATATTCAATGTTGAATGTTTCAAAGATGGAATCTTCTAGTACTGTAGATACATAAATAATTGGATCTTTAATAAACGACAAACGTAAACTGTACATTTTGGTCATTTAGTACCTCCTTTTCTGGTTCTAGCATTCATAAGAAGGCCTTTATACATTAAGAGATTGGTTTAGTTCATTTGAATGTAATATTAAAGAAGAATAGAGAAAAAAAACCAGAAGTAACTTTGAAATGGTTAGCGTCGTATTTGCCTCAATAGAATAATTCGACTGCATCTGAATATTTGGTCGAACGATTATCAACTAATATTTTAATGACTGTGGAAAAAACATTTGCCTACATCATAAAATTGAGAATGGAAACGGGGAATGTGTCAAAGAGACACCAACCCGACGAAAGAGCGTGTCTTTTTGAACTACCAGCATGTGCAGTTTTTTTTTCAAATACCGTTGTCATACAAACAGATTGTTGCGGTTGCCTATTTAAATACAAAATCAAAATAATTATTAAACAGGATAAGCAAGCACTTGCCTTGTTAATGGCCTGGCAAGCCTGGGATTACTGCATTTTTTTTCAGATCATTACTATGTCCTTTTCCAATTGATAAAGAAAACTGTTCGAATCGAGAAGTATACATTTAAGTTAAGTCTAGCTTAAATATTGGAATAACGCCAGTGTCTATACGTGATCCCTCGTTGTTGACAACTGTTCTGCGCCAGTGTCTATACGTGATCCCTCCTTGTTGACTCTTGTTCTGCAAGAATGGTACCGAAGTTACGATTTTCTATACTTTGCTCACAATTGTGTTGATGGATGTCTTTAGTATATAAATGTGGCATGCATTTGGTATTATAGGGCACGTAGTTTTACTGCAGGTACGTCAAAATAAAACACTTTCTAACCTTCTCTAAGGGATATTTTTGATTTTGATATCTTATGGCGGCCATCTTGGAAAAAACCGCTATATTCAAATTTCAATTTGGGTCCATAGTTTATATTGTTTGAAGCACCTAGCACTAAAAAAATGACAAATTTGAAGCAATATAAGGGATATTTGTTGATTTTGATATTTTGTGGCGGCCATTATGGAAAAAAGCCGCCATATTAAAATTTCAAGGTTGGTTTACAGCTAATATTTTTGAAACACTCAGCACTACTGCTCTGCCAAGTTTGACCTTAAATGTGACCATATATAAGTGATATATGTTGATTTTGATATTTTATGGCGGCCATCTTGGAAATAGCCGCCATATTGAAATTTCAATGTGGGACCATAGATAATATTGCTTGAAACACACAAAACTACTACCATGCCAAATTTGGTGCTATTATCACCAAACCCACAATATTTTCACCAATCTGCCGGACTATGTAGACATTTCTCGTTTTTGTTTGTTTGTTGTGTCACGGCAATACGATTTGATACTTTCTTTACTACGATGGCCAGTAACGTTTTCCCAAGTGTGTTTTTACCTAATGGCTTGTTTTCAAACCAACTATTACACCCTCATCAAAGTCATACTTAGGTTTCTGCCACAGCGCTGAAAAATTTGTGTGTCTTTTCTCTAAATATTTAACAAAAGATGCTAGTAGACATATTGCAGTTTTTGTTTTTTACATCCTACCACCTTCCGGTTCAAATTCCTCAGTTTGGTCACCCTGATGATTTTTAGTTAACTCTGATGTTACTTTACGTACGTAGCGCTTACCCTAATCATCGGTTTGAATGTCAAACTCAGACACTTTCAGATTTCTCAAGTTTTCCTGTCCCCTGGGACAAACATACAGAATGAGTTCAAAGAGCACCTTGTTCAGAAGTCCAGTAGGTATACAGGAACTTCTTAGGAAGAAAGAAAAGAAGTTAGCAGTATCCTTTACGTTTACTTTCCGTTATACAGATGATGTTGAATAATTCAAAATTTTGTGACAATGTTGAACGCATCTATATATCCCATCGATTTGAATTAAAGGATACAACAGATACAGTAAAGACTGCCTCATATCTTGACTTACATCCAGAAACTGAAAATGAGGGTCGGTTGAAAACAAAACTTTACGACAACAGAGATGCTTTCAGCTTCCCAATCGTGAACTTTTCATTTCTACGTAGCAACATTCTTGCAGCGCCGGCATACGGGGTACATATATCCCAGTTGATACGATATTCCATGGCTTGTATTTCCTAAGTATCAGAATTTCCTTGATAGAGGGTTGCTGCTCACAAGGAAACTATTAGACCAAGAGTTCCAAGCGGTGAAGTTGAATTCTGATTATTTCTTTCCTTCGTAAATTTTACGGACGCCATCATGAGTTGGTCGAACGTTATGGAATATCCGTTTCACAGATGATAGCGGATATGTTCAAATGTCGTAACTACAATCCCGTCCCCTTTTTCCCCGAATGTGACCTACCTATTTAGATTTATTACCGGGTTTGTACTAACATGAGCAACACGACGGGTGCCACATGTGGAGCAGGATCTGCTTAACCGGAGCACCACCTGAGATCACCCCCAGTTTTAGTGGGGTTCGTGTTGGTCAGTCTTTTGTTTTCTTTGTTGTGTTTTGTGTACTATTGTTTGTCTGTTTGTCTTTTTCTTTTTTAGCCATTGCATTGTCAGTTTATTTTCGACTTATGAGTTTGAATGTCCCTTTGGTATCTTTCGCCTCTCTTTTATACTGTTGAAAACCTCTATTTAAATAAAAAAAAACAAGAACAGTTAATCTGAACCAGAAAAGTATTTAGAATGTTAGTTTCAAAACAAAATTGAGAAATATAAGGGCTGCTTAAAAAAATTTGAATGGGCAGTTCTGAAAAAAATCTGGGGGTTCACATATATTTAGGAAACTTTGAGGAAATAAATGATATTTACCAAATTTATAAGTTGTTATTTTCATTTTCTAGCACTGTGCGGATACCGCTTTTGTGGACTGATTATCACCGAGTGTACCATCGCCATTGACATTATTGTTATATATATAATACATTTCTTGAAATTTTCGTTGATTATTTAATAAATTATTTGGAAGGAAACTAAAGTTCCAACGGCCATTGGCAAAGTTTGACTTTCTTAGATGGTTTTTGCTTTTCTGTTTACTAGGTCCCTAGTGCCAAGCGCATTTTCTTTAGTAGTAACTGTTCTTTGTAATTTTCGTCAGTAATTTTCCTAAATCTTCTTTCTTTAATGTGATTCTGTCAAAGACACTAAGAGAAGACGCCACTGAAAAGCAGTATAATCTAAGGTTAGGGTGAAGGTTGGCGCCTGTTAAAACGTTTAAACCCGCTGCATGTGTATGCACCTGTCCAAAGTCAGGAGTCTGATGTTCAAAGGGAGTCGTTTGTTATTGTGGTTTATAAGTGTTTCTCGTTTTTCATTTGTTATATAAAAAACAGTAAAATCACAGAAATACTGAACTCCGAGGAAAATTCAAAAAGGAAAGTTCCTAATCAAAAGCTCAAACACATCAAACGAATGGATAACAACTGTCATATTCATGACTTGGTACAGGCATTTTCTTATGTAGAAAATGGTGGATTGAACCTGGTTTTGTAGCTAGCTAAACCTCTCACTTGTATGACAGTCGCCTCAAATTCCATTATATTGACAACGATGCGTGACAAAACAAACAGACACAATAGGTAAAAATGTCAAAAATAGACCGTTGATTTTCCTGTTTGAATTGTTTTACACTAGTCATTTTGGGACCTTTTATAGCTTGCTGTTCGGTGTGAGCCAAGGCTCCGTGTTGAAGGCCGTACTTTGTCCTATAATTGTTAACTTTTTATACATTGTGACTTGGATGGAAAGTTGTCTTATTGGCACTCATACCACATCTTCTTATTTATATAAAGATGTATTTATCAAAGCAATTTATTAAGTCGGATGTTTAGTGATATCTATAAATTATATTTACAAAATTTATGTAATTGTAATACAAATCACATAACTATCCGTGTCAATCCACGCTGTATGTATATAAACCAATTATATTATCTCCAATTATATTGTCTAACCTCTCCTTATAAAGCAACATACAAAGTAAAAAAAAAAACACTTAATTTTACCGTTAGTGTATGTTACAGTTTTTGTCAATTTACATGTCATCAACATACATGTATATGATACATACAAATATTACAATTAATCTTTTCCTGATCAGAACTAGAAATTTTCTCACTGATATTATGAACAAATGTCTGTTACATATACATGTGAGTTTCAGTCCTGGAATACCTACTGGATTTCGTCCTACGTATTGACAGTTTGACCCTTATGATACCACCTCCGAACATCGATTTCATTACGCGCACAAATCGTTTGTTGAATGCGCAATACAACAGGAAGTTGACAGAAAGGTTAAGAAGAAGCAAGATGTTACTTATATGTCGTAATTTATGATAATGCGAGAACGGAATATGTAACAGCCGAGTAAAATCTCCAATCGTTGATGGTAAGATGGCTACTATAGACAATAGTACAATAGAAATAAGAGTTATTGTAAATCTCCGTTGATCCAGTTGCCAATCTTTTTCTTTGTTGTTTCTGATATCATATTCCTTCCGGATAGACCTTGCTTTATGCACAGCATATATCAAATACGAATTGCAAACAACAAATATGACTAGCGGCGCGACGTGAAATAGTGCAATGCAAACTATATCATAAATGCGGTAATTGTGTGATGCTCTAAACGATGTTGGGTAAAGATGGTATTGGTCGGTAGCTCCTACTAGACTGAAGCACAGGAATCTTGGAACTGTGATAAAAATTGTTGCAACTAGAATAATTGCTATTCTTACTTTAGCTCTGCTCAATGAAAATTGAGCTCGAGCCCACAAGGGTGCTTTTACATATAAAAATCTGTCTATTGTCACCCCAACTGTCAGCCAGACACTGGAAGCAGTGAAAAAATTAACAAGTGGAAAAAACAGGTAAGCGTCAAAAAATTTCCATTCGTATAATGTTGATCTACTCGAGACCATCAGATGGAGGAATGACAGCACCAATGCACACATGTCTGTGACAGCAAGTGCTTTCAGGTAAAAGTATGGAGGGTTATTCAATCGTCCTTTAATTAAAATAATTAAATTGAGTATATTTCCGAAAACACCAGAGACGCAAAGGACTGGTCCAATATACTTTTTGCAAATAATTGCCACCATATCAACCTCGTCGCGTACTTGATCTGAGCTTGGATATGTTTCTGATGAAACATCGGAATCATTCAATGTTGTCATTGTAACTATTGTGGAGTTCATAATCGTTTTCCTGAAAAAGAAAAGAAACACAATAGAACAAAGATATAGACACACTTTTATAGTGAGTTATCTCATTAGGTTATTGCAATGGGACAACAAAATTGAAGATGATAGTCATTATCCATGAGTACGCTGTGTATTGTAACTAATGGTTTCTAGAGCAACACGAATATTTCGATAAATGTTATGTCCTTTTTATTACCTTAAATTACTTTTAGTGGTAGCATTGTACAGGATCGTGGTCATTTTTAGACTTTCATGAAGCATTTTTCTGTTAACTTATGTTGATAATAGCTCTCTAGATGTCATTGTGTTTAGTTGTGGTATCGGACTACTGTCTGATTGTTGATATATATATATTCTTATAGTTAAGGATATTTATTCTGAACTTCTTTTACCAGTAATTGTGGTTCCTCATCATAAAGATTAATTGAGCCTTTCCCCCGAATGTGACCTACCGAATTAGACTGATCACCGGGTTTGCACTTACATGAGCAACAGGACGGGTGCCACATGTGGAGCAGGATCTGTCTATCCTTCCGGAGCACCTGAAATCAGCCCCAGGTTTTCAGGTTTGAGGTGGGGTTCGTGTTGCTCAGTCTTTAGTTTTCTTTGTTGTGTTTTGTGTTTTGTGTATTGTTGTTTGTCTGTTTGTCTTTTTCTTTTTTTAGCCATGGCATTATCAGTTAATTTTCGACTTATGAGTTTGACTGTTCCTTCGGTTTATTTTGCCTCTCGTTTACGAAAAAGCATTTCATGAAACTGTCACTTAAAGTGGTATTCCAATATAGCCACCAAGTGGAGCGATTCAGTAGGTTTCTGAATAAGAAATATAGTCCACGTTGCATGCAGGATTATAGGACGACCATTTGATTTTTAATTTACGGTGGGGGGGGGATTTTGGAAATGCATAACCTTGTTTAGTGAGAACTGCGAAAAAAATCTTGCCCAAGACAGAATGAAAATTAATATTCTGTCCATCTTAATGGAAATAACTTTGTTCAGTCTAGTAACAGGTAAAAATGAATATTTATTATACTAAGTATATATATATATAACAATTATTATTACAATAAGATAAGGCTTCACGTCTATGAGACAGTAAATAGCAAAATATATTCAGAAGGAGACATTAAATGGCCAACAGTATGTCTTAAATAACAAGCAACTGTCTGTACCGTATGTCACACTCTTATTCACCCCCTGAGTCTAGACAAGTTATGAATAAGATAATTGGACAGAATTTCCAAACATCTACAATGACTACCAAAGTTTTTTCTTTAAATAAAAAAGACATGCACTAAGATATGAGCAAACACATTCGATCGATCGATCGATCGAGATCGAGAGAGAGAGAGAGAGAGAGAGAGAATAATTACTTTATCCTACCTTTGTTGTAAAACATAAAATAACGATAATCAGTGCTGCAATTAGTATTACTAGCATTATACCACCAGCCAAATATTTAATATTGCAACGTGGAATTTTTACATAATCGTTTGTCTGTGTTGCAATTGATTGTACTCTTCCTTCAGGTGTTGATTTTTTTGTTTTGTCATTTGACTGGCTAAATCCTCCCTTTTTTTTCGACAGACAAAATACCATGTTGCTGGATTAATAAAACTAATTTTGGAGTTGTGTAAAATCGAAAATGTTTGCGTGCATTTATTTTTCGATTGTCATACAAAGGACAAAACTATGAAATTGATTATTGCAGTTACAGCGATAGTTGCATATGAATGATGCATTCCAAAATTTAGATTGCGAGTTTTTACTGTTGCCAGACCTACCTGTATCAAAATTTTCGAAATAATAAAAAAAAAAGTAAAAAGAAAATTCTGAATTTACAGTACATATGTGTAAAGTTAAATCTGAAAATTGGTATAAAACGAACGATCTATCGTCGATTCTATCACAATTGCTTAGTCTTGACATGATTGTACAAACCAAGCAGAAACTGCTGTATAGAAATTGTGTTATTTAACAGAAACTATTACCGATGTTGATTTACTGACAGCTATTTGTCATATGTAACGGATCTTCTCCAAAGTAACAGACATTCAGACAATATAATTATCTGTCTTCTAATTCTATGCATTGAAAAATATCCAGGAGAGATTCCGAGTCTATGTATGTTGGCGTTTGTTTTTGTTGCTCTTTAGTGTTCCTATTGGTCATTTGTTTTCATCTTATAGTTGATGTGTTTCCCTCGGTTTTAGTTTGTTACCCGGATTTGTTTTCTCTCATTCGATTTATGACTTTTGAACACCGGTATACTACTGTTGCCTTTATTTGTATAGAAAATCTTGATGTGTTATCAACTAGTGATACAAATAGTTCAAATAATCTTTTGAAATAATACTGGAGGGCTATTTATATTATATATATAAATCAGAATGACAGACAAGATATTCGATTTAACTATTCATTCAAATAGTTAAAATAAGCTATTAACTGTTTTATAAGGTAATAAGTGTATGTAATACACGATGATCGCTCTGTTAAAGATAGAGATAAATCGTCGTTCAATAAATCTTCTTTTATTACAAAAAAAATCTAAAAGAAATCATTGGATGTGTTCAACTAGATTGTTTCCCGTTCCAATCCGTTTTAAACATGCATTGGACTTCAAGTAAAATGACGAGTTTTAACTGACAAACCTAAATAAATTTTCTTGCACGGGTCCCGGGATAATGCAATGGTGTTTTTTTTTTCAAATCGAAGTTTTGATGCTGATTAAAATCTAAAATATTTCAAACACATACATGTGTACGCATTACTATGACTATCATATATTAACTCGATGTGTACATGTGTATGTTTTAAAGCATTGTCTTGAAAACTGAGTTAAATTATTATGCGTACAATGTATCATGAATGATAGGAAGGGTTTTCTTTAAATTTATACAAAAAATCATAAATACTAGACTAAAAATTGTGTACGCCGGACGAAACGTGTTAAGTCTACAAAAGACTCACTAGTGACGCTCGAATAAAAAAAGTTTAAAAAAGCCATCTAAAGTACAAAGTTATAGAGCATTGAGGATACGTTCTAACTTAAGGGTCATAGACAAGCGAAAGATATACACAATGAAAGATATTGACCTCACAGAGCCTCTTCTTTATTTCATAACATTCAAGTGTAGTTCCTTAGGTAATTTTACAGTAAATAATTCTTACTGTAATCATTTTAGCCACCAGGAAGGTGTTTTGTGCGGATAGACTTATATAAGAGACAGATATACCGAATCTTAGCCACCAGGAAGATCTTTTGAGCGGATTGACTTATATAGATACAGACATATATAGACACATGTGGTTTACAGCGAACGTTGACTACCGGAAAACACTAATGTTAATGAAAAGCTTCATAGATGAAATATAGGAGTGTCGTCTATTGAAAAAACAGAAATGACTGCATAACTTCGGGAAACAGTTTTAGTCATTTCCGTATAATTAGTTTCTTCATCTCCTGCTTTTGTCTTAAGGTAATGGGAAACAAATGATGATGTAAGCTCGAAAATGATCTTCATTGAAAACTTGTAGTATATTAGTCTTACTGGTATTTTTAAGTACAAGTTCATTCTTGTGGTCGATATAACAATAGTACTGATACTTGAAAATTAAAGAGATGAAAACAAATAAAGAAACCATTACACAAAGACAGGGAGAGGCACAAATAAATATACGAAAGTTACTTCACTAATTTAGGTCATAAAAATCCTGAATATGAAAATTAAATTAATTAACTTAGGTCATCAAAGTACCCTGAATATGATTACTGTTTCATCGAAATTATGTGTGCAATATCCGATTCAAATCTAATTTAAAAAACAATAGAATTAAATTTTGATACATTTTCTTTAAATTTACTTTCGGCTTCTAGTACACATTTCAAAGTTATAATGTCGTCTGTATCTCTTTTGAATTGTATCTATTTCATTATTCCAAGCTTTTAAAAGCTTTTTATACGGAAGGGGGTTATCTCATTGCTGAATGTCGTACGATCATTTGCTCTTTGTCGAATAATTATGTCATTTGCAATCATATGAAATCTTCTTATTTTTCTATTTGGAAACTTTTCTACAGTTATTGTACCTATTAAAAACATTTGGTTAACTTTAATCTTAACATAAGATGATGTAGTATGATTGCCAATGAGACACCTCTTCACCAGAGACCAAATGACACAGAAGTTTGGTTAATTTTTTTGTTGAAATCTGTGTGTTGCCCGGCCCCTCTACATGTATAGTTCTTGTGAACTTTATCGTTGGGTTGATGTGTCATTAACGTATACCCAACATCTTCTCTTATTCATATTGTATAAGTGCTGTTACCATTTTTTGCACTGCAAACGTTCATTGCCAACGAAAATATAAATGATGTCGCACGTCTGCTATTTCAACTACATGCCAAATATGTTGAGTGTAGTAAACATGTCGAACAAATAATTTTATAAATAACTGAAATAAGTAGATAGGTGTATTTACCTTTTAGAAATCTATTCCAAGAATGAATGTTCATTTTGTATATTGTCCTTTGAAATTAGCATTGACATTCACTGTAAACATATGCGACGCTAGCATGCAAGTCACATTCTATGTTATTTCGCAAAAAGGATGAACTGGGTAATCCAATGTATGATTATAAATTAGATTTTATGAAAATTACTATTATTAGTATTATAAAAAGCAATCATTCGAAAGAATTTTTAATGAGGTTTGATTGTGTAATAGCAATAAAAGCTAAATTTTACATTTGTTGTAATGCAATCATTGGAGCATAAATGTCAAATATATAATTACAATTAATCGATGTTAAATAAATTAAAAACTTGAAAGGATCGTATATTGTTCTTTTTGTTAGAGCAGTGACATTAACCGATGTTAGATAAATTAAAAATTTGAAAGGGTCGTACATTGTTTTTTTGTTTGAGCAGTGACATTAAGAGATGTTTATGTTTAATCGTTTAACAAAGCAGGTCAACCATTTACAGTGCAAACGAACGGTAGTTTTTTTTTATTCCCACCTCGTGCACTTAAGAAAAGATCGAAGACAGACAACCCCAAAAGCATAAAAAAAATATAAATAAACTAAATCACTCTACAAAAACAAATAAATAGCAATACAAAAGGCCTAGAGCGCATCTCGTTGCTTCATTATACAGTAGAACGTGTTCTCAATTCGTGACACCGAATTTTCCTGTTAGTGTTCAGCGAGAAGGTTGATAGTTATAACTTTTGTGAACTGTATTTGGGGAAAATTTAACTTAGACACCTTCGACAATAGTTACAAAACATCAACAAACACCTATATAAAATATTTAAACATAAAATAAAGATAAAAATATATTAAAAAGTATAACATGTTCAATTTTGATTTAATTGATTAACATCTAATAATAAAGTAAAATGAAATAAGTAATTTGTAATGATGAAACTAAAAATATGCATTACCCATTGTTTGTTACTCTTGACCCTTTACCGGTCAGCACACCTCTATACATTATTATTTATTTATTGTAACAAGGTATATGCGTATGTATCTATAACTTTTATACAAGCATGACAAAAGATAATATAATTTAATATTTTATTTCTGTTTTCATTTAAGACCTTTAATAATTGGCAAATTATTGTCAGCATGTTTTTATCTTCATTTCCCATTAACCAAATAAAATGAGATTTGATATCAAATTTTGAAACAGTTTAACTTTTCCGACATATTTTGCATAGAAAGGGACTACTAACATTTAACAAAGCTTTACATCTCATCTTCTATTACCTCATTACAGAGTTTTCATGTTCCATTTTCTGGTTTTCAAGTTTATGAGCTCCAAATCTAAATCTTGTTAACACACTTCTTTGAAGATATGACAATTACAATAAGTATGGCTCAAAATTAAAGTTTGATTTGAATAATCGATAAGTTAAAGTTTATTTTCAGATGTATTATTTTGTCTTTATCATTAAACCTTATCATTAACAACTCTTTCTTCTAAATGTTACAATATTTTGAATATAATTTCCTTTTTACCATATCTTTAATGTTTGATTTAGATGAGAGTACTTGATACTCTTGTAAATCAAGCAATGTCAGGATAGCTTGAATACAACTTGTTCGAGATGGAGATGGAGATGGAGATCGATCGATCGATCGAGAGAGAGAGAGAGAGAGAGAGAGAGAGAGAGAGAGAGAGAGAAAGGCTCACATTAACTCCTTGTGTTACACCAGTTAATGATCTAAAGTCAGCTGTTAACATGTTGCGTGTTTTTATACATAGTATGGTATTAGGATACATACTTTTGATTACATTATAGAAATGGGTTCCTACTCTAATTTTACTAAGTTTATAGGACAATCCTGTATGATAAACAGTATCAAAGGCTCTTCTGAAGTCAACACAACATGTGTATAATGGTTTTGAGCCTTTTTGTGTGTGTTTGTCTATTACAACTTTTCAAGACAAAAGATGATCACTTGTCATTTCACCTTTAGATAAACCAATTTGTTCTTGGGATATAATCCCATGGGTGTTTTTCTAAATATTTTTCAAGTCCGTTATTTAATATGCTAGTAAATAACTTAACAATATTACTACTGATATCAATTCCACTGTAATTACTTGGGTCTTTTGTGTCACCTGACTTATAATTAAAAGATTAATATTTCCGTGTGCACAACACATTTTTTTCTGAAAAAACCGTAACCAAAACTAATAGTCTGGAAAGGCAATATTAAATAAATCACAGCTGAGAGGATGATAGAGCAGATTGTTACCCCGAGAAAACATTGTCACCCTCTTAGTTATGTGTTATTTAATTATTATACTGAATGTTCTGTTATGACTGTCTATTAAATTTCAAATTCAAAGTAATAAACTATGAAATCATATACAGAGCAACCATCCATATTTAATAAAGCGCACAATTGATCAAGCGTCTCCGTGAAGGGTAATAGAGTATTTGTCATGGCATGGAATAAATTATCTCCTTTATATTTAAAACAAATCAAAATCTTGCATTTTGACATAAAGTACAATAACACTATATATAACGTATGACAGCTTAAAGCTAAATGACCTAAACGGAACAACAAAAACCATCTAGAGTCAACTTTCTAATTGACTGAAGGTGGTACCTAACACTACCGGGAGATAACTCTGTAAAAATCAGCTAAACGTTTTAATTACGTTGTATTGTTAAGGAAATTTTAAGCTTCTCAATGATCAAAATTAGTGTTTGTCAAACTGTTATATAACCAATGAAATTTTTCTGATAAAGTGTTTGGTTCAAATTTTTTGAAATTTTTATATTTTTGTCAAAGGGTCAAAGTAAACATTTTGTCAAAATTTTATGAAAATTAAACGAGCCAAATTAATATTAGTCAAGGTGTTGGGTACCACCTTAAAAGCTTGGAAGTTGTGATCTTAGATTCAAATGTCACATACTATAATAACTGGTAAATATAAACAGTTTAACGAAATATAGTAACCTTGTAATTGATATGCATTTAGTTGAAATCATGTCAAATAGACAGTCAAAAAGAGAAATTTTCAAAATAAATTATGATTTAAACTGATGTGTGCTTTGCTTGTGTTTACAATTGTATTAACTGGAAGCTATTGAACGTAATTGCAGCAAATTAAATACGAAATTCACATTAGTAACATAGATTTCTAACATTTGTGACATTAACTTTGATTTCCAATATTTTCCTATAAACTATCAACTTTGTATTTAAAACATGATTTTTATCAAGCATGCTATGGTATTTATCAAGCATGCTATGGTATTTATCATGCATGCTATGGTATTTATCAAGCCTGCTATGGTATTTATCAAGCCTGCTATGGTATTTATCATGCCTGCTATGGTATTTATCAAGCATGCTATGGTATTTATCAAGCATGCTATGGTATTTATCAAGCATGCTATGGTATTTATCAAGCATGCTATGGTATTTATCAAGCATGCTATGGTATTTATCATGCATGCTATGGTATTTATCATGCATGCTATGGTATATATCAAGCATGCTATGGTATTTATCAAGCATGCTATAGTATTTATCAAGCATGCTATGGTATGTATCACGCTTCGAGGTATCTTTTACTGATACACCTTATTACAGAGATATTTTGAAAATAATCACTTACAAGACATGAATAATTAATCTGACGTTGTTATACACATCCAAACTTTACAATTTATTTCTATGACTTTATATAAAAAGGTTATTTTGTTGCATCACAGTACTTCCCTTTCCTAAAGGTTTCATTATGATTATTGGGTTAAGATGCAAGTCATTCCAAACATATTTGAGAAAAAAAAAATTATTTCCAGTGCACGAAATAGGTAAGATACCTTATTTCGATGCTCGGGGGAAAGGGGGGGGGGGGGGGGGGGGGGGGGGGGGGGGGGGGGGGGGGGCGGACTTCAATACTTAATTGATAGGAGGTGCTGCTGGGATTCTGTTACCTACCTTTTTCATATAATTTAGATTTAAAAAAAGTTTACCTTACCTTTTCATTATCAAGAAAATATCACTTTTGATTGGAGCTCAGATCTGAGTGTCAGATTCCTTATGTAATGGTTACTTACGGCGAGACGTTCGGCTGTGAAAAAAATACAGGGCTTTTTATATGACAAGTAAATGGAACTTTATTGATCTTATATATTTCTGATAGTTTTCCCAACGTATTCACATTTTTCAAGCTGGAAAATGTGACCTATTCCAGCGGCACGTCCTATTACCTTGTATATAGGAAGTCCCCCCCCCCCTCCCAGAGTTTCGAAGCCATCGACTTGTTATCAGTATTGAATAGAATATAATATCAACGTACACATACATAAATAAGCAAGCAAGCCCCTTAACATATTTTACTTGTAGGAACTTTACATCATAAGTTTAAATCGCAAACCTACAGCCATAATTTAACCTCAGGAAAAGTTATGATACACAATAACGATTTCTTTAATTGGTTTTATTACTTCGTTTGTTGTATGTGCATGTCACAGGGTACTGTAGAAAAAAAAATGGAATTTACAATAAACCAGGGTCGTAGAGTTTGTTTCTGACTGGTTCTGAAAGACTGTTGCATATTTAATGATTAGACATTTCCGAAAGCGAAATCATAGTACTAAACTTCACATATGTCAGATTTGTAAGAATTGATCCTCTTTTTCCCTACGACTGACTATTATGCACTCAGCCGTTACCAATCGCGTTCCTTGACTGCTATTAACACCCACTTTTATTCAGAAAGTAATTATAGTGGTCGATAGATTCTTTCTTATTAACAATTTTACTGTCACAGAGTTTGGCTTTTCAGTCTACTACAAGCTGATTAACTTGCATATTATGTTCTGCATTAGTACATACAAATTGATTGTTTATGGATTGAAGGAAATAAGGTCAAGATCAACATTACAAAGCTTTTTTGTTCGAAATCTATTTCAATTGTTGTTTTTTTTATTTAAAATTTAACCTACGGTAGATAAATAATGCATATTTATTTTTGACGTAAAGCTTACTTTGGTTTTTTCCGACTCTTGTTTTTACTATTTGAAAAAAAGAAAGGGGTATCTATAGTGAGTAATTAAAAAAAAT